GATGTTAAAAATATAAGGCAAAAGTTTTGTCGTCCGAAATCGAGTGGAACGCTTTTAGGTAGACTGCCTCTGAATGATGTAAAGTGACATTTCCTTGCAGGTTATCTGGATGTTATGTAAGGCGACGGATCTGTTCATTTGGTTAAAGACGTTGCTTGCATCTATCAGTAAAATGCCATTTGTTCCTTCCTCTACAAACGTTTGACTCATAGCATGTATCGCGGCCTCTGAGCCTGCGCTACGGCCTGCGCAAACCTGAAGGGGGCTCGCTGCCCCGTTGATCTCCTTCTTCAAAAATCCAGCAATAGTTTTTTCCAACTATTCGCCTCAGGACCTCACCAAGGCCAGCATCGTATTCCAGGGTTTTTGTCCAGGGGAATGAGTCTGCAAGAGGTATAGCCTTTCAGCAAAGATGGATGGCAAGGCTATCTCCTCTCTCAAAACCTTGCCCTCAGCTTTGAAATTCTTGGAGCAAAGGATTCTTCGACATAGCTCGGCATCCATCCCCGACGGCCCGGCTGAGCCCTTTGTTTTGGTTGCAGCATTAAAGATCATTTTGTCTTCGCTAGGAGAAATGTAATCAATGGGCCCGTATAATAAACTCTCATCCGCGATATCTGCCGCTTCCGGGTGTTTCTCCTTCAGCCCTTCTAGGAATTCTAGTGTAAGGTTGAGTAAGCCCGTTGAGCTCTCGCTATCCAAAAGCTTAATAGCTGCTGGTAACTTTCCTTGGAATACTAGTTTCGCAAAAGCTTTGGATATGTCGTCAACTGTCCTAGCCTTCTTCGAATTCACAAACCTCCCTTGGATGAATCTAACTTCTTTTAGCAAGAGATCCCAATCTCCCTAGGTTTAATCTTCGTTCTATCGCTGCACCATGCTCCTTGCTTTTAGAAGTAGCGGACGGCTTTTGCAGGATAAAGGTTGGGAGTACCATAAAAGCTTTCAAAGCAACGGAGTTTAGATCCGAATTCGAATGCTTTATCCAGAATGTTAGTTCTTCTATAAAGGCTTTTCCGGCTCTTCCCGTTGGTACATTGAAAATATTTCTCCTGAAATGGACAATTTCATCGTAAACACCATTGTTAGTATCACAGACGCTCTCGTGACTGATACTGCCCCATGTTTTGTTCTTGATTTCAGTGGGAAACATCTCGTATTCGGGTAGGTTTGGTTGAATTGTTCTTTGCTGTCTTTGTTGAATCCTGAGATCCCTGGGGAGAAGTAGTTTGATTACCTTCATTACTTGCTTGATGAACCACATCCACGTCAATCACCGGCGTACGCAAACCCAAGTTCACAGATTTTGCAAAATTAACATTTTCAGCTTGCCGGGAAACATTGTTTTGATAAGCAGATTGACTATTTTCTTCAAAAACCTTTACTTCACTGGACTCAGGTTCTCCCTCGTTTCCGTCCGCTAAGCTGAAGTTCCGGTTGTTCCTCGTACGATCCGGCAGCATTTTTTCCAATCTTGAGGCCTGATCTCTCAAGTCTTGACTCTTTACTCAAGAAATTCAAAACCTTTCTCCTACCATAGATCCTTCATCACTTCCATATAACCTTTCTTCCTCCCATTTGTGTACTAAGGAGGGTTATTTGAAGACGCCATTTCCTTGGCTTTTTTCTTGCACTCTAGAATATCGCTGTTCACTCGTTCTGTCTATTTCACCTTAGTTGCTTTTCTCGACATGCCCACACACATACATCCGACAGCACCGCTCTTATTATTATTAATAATAATAATGATAATAATAAAAATAGTAATAATAATAATAAAAATATTTAAACACGGATTCCACGTCACATCATTATGTGGCTTTCAGTGGGGCCCTTTATTTTTGAAACAATCTTAGCCTTTCAGATAGATGACTTCTATCGAGCAATCCTGTTGGACTTTGTTAGCTCTTACAGGAGGTATTATAGCTGTTAGACATCCGTGCTAAGAATGACAGAAGACTGGAGAAGGATGCGGGGCAAAGGAGAGCTGGTTGCAGTGGTGTCCATGGATTTATCCAAGGCCTTTGATGTCATCCAACACCCGTTACCTCTTGCCAAGCTCAAGGCCTATGGCGTTGACATAGAAAGCCTTGCCCTTCTTCAAGATTACCTATCACACAGATCTCAGAGGATTAAGTTTGGGGACGCATTCTCTAACTGGGAAAGTGTTAAACAAGGAATTCCTCAGGGTAGCGTTTTGGGACCCGTGCTGTTCAATATTTTTATAAACGACCTGTTTTTTTAATGTTACGCAAACTAAATTAAACGCTTACGCCGATAATCATCAGATCTACCAATCCGATGTGGGCCCACTTGTTCTAGATAGGTTTATTTGTAATAACTTCGAAAAGCAAACCAATGGTGCAGCTAAAACGGCATGATCGTGAACGCAAAGAAACACCAAGCTTTAATTATTAGTCAAACAGATCAATAATTCTCTTGTCCAGTGAAAAACGAGTCAGATATTTTCGGAAGGACTATAGATAAAAGACTTAATTTTGACAGCCACATATCTACGAAATCTACTGTTTGTGATAAAATTAATAATCAAGTTAATGTAAAGTTACGGCTCCGCAATATCATCTCTAAGGACACAATGTTTAGGTTGTACAAGGCATTCATTCCGCGTCACTTTTATTTTTGTTCTTCAGTGTGGCATTTTTGTGGAACACGCAACAGTCAAAAGCTGGAAGCAGTTAATAAGCGCATTCTTAGATTTATTTTAAATGATTATACTTCTCACTACACCACTTTGCTTAACAAGGTTGAAATGACTGCTTTGTATAAAGAGCGCATTCAGAATTTCTTATTACTAGTTTACAAGAGTCTATATTTTAATGAGTATCCAACTTATACGAGGAATATGTTTACTGTTCGCCATAGAACCTACAGTTTGCGCGGCACCCATATTTTGACTCCAAGCAAGCCTAGAACAACAACCTCTGGACTACACTCTTTTTCTTATTTATCTGCCCAGCAATGGAACGATGTTTCCGACGAATTAACGAACAGTACTTTTCATGATTTTAAGCGACATGTGTAAGGTCTCAATACGTCTGATTAGTTTTCACTAATTTTGCCTTAGTTTATGTCTTTTTTTTTCAGTTTTAGAGATCTTAATTTGTTTCTCGAAGATATTAGAAATACAGTGTAGCTACTCTAAAATTCGAGTTAAAATAAAGGTTATGTATGTAATTAAATATAAAAATAGAATTACAGGTCTAAAAATGTCTAAAAAACTAAAAAGTTAATAATTTAAGAATTTTAAAAAAACTCAAAATACTCCTAATATTTAAAGATAAAATGTCAGCAATCTGTTTAACTTCATTAGGTAAAATGTTCCAGTCATTAGCGGCTTGGTAGATGAAGCGGTTTTGTCCACAGGAACGACGTGACTGGCGCCTACAAATGTTATTCTTACCCCAAGTGTTATAGTTGTGAATGTCTTTAAAACTGTAAAATTCAAAATCCCAGTCAATCAAGCCGTTTAAAACCTTGAAAAGCAATATAAATCTATGAAGTCTTCTTCTTTTCGTTAAGTTATCCCAGTCAAGCTGATCGAACGTCTCGGTAGCAGATGGATGTTTTCGCAAATCCAGTACGATTTTGGCAGCCAAATCATTTTCAGAACTTGGACTTTCCACATCAGCTTCGCATAAGATTTGTCTCCCCAAGTTATATCTACATAGTCAAATAATGGCATTATAGTTGATGTAACAAATAGTTTCCTGCTATATCTTGGTAGGAAACACTTAATTCTGCCTAGCAAACATAACCTTTGCAAAACCTTGCTACAGAGGTATTCTACGTGATCAGACCTCGTTAGATTTTAATTGATGATAACACCCAGATACTTATAAGTGCATTTTACTCGATCCAACGTTTTTTTCACAGATTGTCAAGGTAACTTCGCTGAAGGAAGGAAGCTTCTTCGGACCACCGATGAGCATAAATTTGGATTTCGAAATATTTAATTGTGCTACCCTGACCAGATCTTCATTTAGCACGGTCTACATTCAGTAAGCTGATTTTGAAGAGCCTTGGAGGGCCGTATCATCTGCGAATAAGGTGGCAATGCTATTACGAAGGACTTTACGCAGATCATTGATATCGATGGTAAATAATAAAGGCACTAGAATAGATCCTTAAGGAACACCTACTGACACATTTCTAATACAAGATGATGCTTGTCCAATAATTGTTTTCTGACATCGAGAATAAAGGTAAGAATCGAACCAGGCCAGATCAGTGCTGATTACTCTTATGGTCTTGAATTATTTGAGTTCGATGCATCTTGCTATTGCCCTAAAAGTATTTTCTACTGAAAGAAACGTTGTTGTTGATCTAAAAAACAAATCTTTGAAGAACAATGCATTCTAGGCTGCACACTTAAGGCTACTATCGTCAATTTGGAAAGGGATACGGGTTCAGCCGCATCAAAAGTTCTCTCAAATATCGGCGCATCGATTAATTAATTCATTGAGAGTCGATTCAAGATTTTGAAGGGTACTCTGAAGAATTCCTAGAGAACAAACTTATCCTCTAACATAGCCCTCTTAAGTCTCAGAAAACCCCTATCCACAGTAAGCTACCAAACCCAGTAGAGTTGCCTTTGGGACCTACGTTACAAGATAACCTTCCAAGGACAATGCAAGGTGACCAAGGTGCTAAGGATATCGACAGCAAGTTGCTGGTGAAGCAAGTCCAACAGAAGCACGAACAAGGCACGAAACAGGTTAGAAAGTAGCGCCGGTTTTAAAAGAACCCAAGAACTCAGGAATGACAGCCAATGATCAAGAGAATTCCAAGATCTTATGTAGTACCCACACAAAGCGGCAGAGATTTCCGGCGAAATCGCGGTCGCGGATTTAAGTGTCACCTAAAGGTTCAAGCCTCAGTGAAAGACGGGTTAGTTTTGACTTTTGGTACAGCTCAGCTTCAGGTGCATCCAAGTCAAGCAATGGAGCTTTAAGAAAAAACCAGCGTGTCAGTCCAGCCACTCAGCCAATCAGCTCAGGACTAGGCTCTGGAGGGCAAAGTGACGTGCAGCGGCTGAGGTGTTAAAGCCACAGTGTGGATACACCGCTAAGGCCTTACTTCGCTTTATGTAGAGTATTGGTTCAATTTCTCTCTTCGAACAGTTGTAATTTAAGTATGGACTGTATCTCGTTTTCGTTTTTCGGTAAACAGGAGAGTTGATGATTGCTTGGTTAGTTTACTTCCGTTTTTTGTTCCGCTTTACAGCACATTATCATTTCTGTTGTGTATTTGCACATAGTTTTCTGTGACATCTTTGCAATCTTGTAGTCAACTTTACTGACAAAAATATATATACCGCTTCTATAGTAGGCCTCCGTGTACATTCGTCCGGTCAACAAAAACCACATGTGGTTTTATCGCATTTAAAACAAACTGGTGCTAATGCACCAGTGGCCAGTTGAGAGACTTTACTGCCTTTGGGAAGATGCTAGGAATTCTTTGAGATATTTCGGTCTTCATTTAGAAGAAATAATGGATATTTTGGAAAACATTACTGCCAAAATAGACCTCTTCCGTTAACCAATTATATAAAGTCGCCAATACATAAACTATGAGCGACCATTGTTTTATTTATTTCCAAACCCTTCTTTCTCCTCGTCCTTTTTTTTCCCTTTCCTTTTCCTTCCGTAGTGCAATTTTTAGTCATATCAGATGCACTCCACTTTTTGGCCTCTTTTCACTCAAACGGTTGCCTTCTTCTTCAGCTGCGTTTTCGAAACTTTAGCTATTTTTCTTTTCAAATGATAATTTACTCTTGAGGAAGTGCAGTGTAAATGTTCGTGAGTTGTGTTGGTATCAGAAATATATCGTGAAGCTCCTACATGCAAAGCGATGTTAGAATGGGGCTTGGAAACCTGGTAGCAAAAATCAGTCCCAGAATTTCACTTACCGTTAGTTTCAAATTGAACGATTCTCCGTTTCCTATTTGGTAGTTGGCACCCACACTTTCCTTCTTGACCCAGACTAGAGCGGCGGCTTTTTGTGTTGTCTTCTGTATCTTGAAGCCCGTTTGGTTCTGTGTTAACATAACACTCGTTATCACCTAGAAAGATAACGACATAAAATGTTGAAAACAGTTTAAAAGAAAAAGAGAGAGAGAATTAAAAAAAGCATTTTTTTTCTTAAAATTAAACCAAGAAAAATATTTGTTTTTGTTCTATGATAAATGCACAGTTAGGCCCTTTTGTCTAACCTTTGATGACGATCTTTGCATCGGTTCCAACGGCAACAGTACCTTGCACTCCAGATATATGATAGTTTTTAATGATTACATGCTTATAGTAATCTGCAAACCAATGGTAAAACAATATTTAGATAAAAAAAATATTTATATTTGCATTCGACGTTAGGAGCAAGCAACTCCTAATATTGCGAATCCTGTGGTTGTTTAGTTTCCTGTGGTACTCAGGGTGAGGTCTTCAGCATTTTGTCTCACTTTTTTTCGATGAGTGTCTCCCTTTTCGGCGCCATTCTAAATTAAGTCGTATGTGCAATGAAAAAAATGCACTTTACCCTTTTGATTATGTCAAGGTACGATCAAGGTCTATCCGATGATGCATTTGATGTCGAAAGCACGGAATTCGTCGATGGGAGGACATTTGTAGCTATTTTTATCCCTTAGCCGGTGATTATGTCATACATAGCTCTTTGTTACTATACTCTGTTAGGTCAAGTGATGTCATAAAGGTCAAATCGAGCTGAAACTTCGTAGAAATTAAAGAAAGAAATGAACCTCAGTTGAGAAATGAGTCTATATATTTCTTGTTTTATTCGCAAATTAATTTGTCACTAGTTCATGCACGAAAAACATCCCGGGATAAGGTACGTTAGCAGAATTTTACCCGCTTTTTTTTCTCTTTCATGCGTGTACTGGAACTCTTTGTTGACGTCTACCCGCTGTGTATTTTGTGAAAGGTTTGAACTCAGGAGTCATTTCATAAGTAGGTTAAGAATGATCGTCTGGGTGAACGTAGTACTGATTAGGACTATTGTTGTTGAAAGTGACTGACGTTTCGACAAACTGTGCATTAGTCATCTTCAGAGTGAAAGTGAGTTGTATCACGTCAGGTGATGGTATCAAACTCTGGTTATTGACCTAATTGGTCAATTAAGTCGCGATGTTATCGGTCGTCTCCCAGTTTAGCCGTGATGTTATTGGCTATGAAGACTCGCATGAAGACTCGATCCGTTTATCGTCACAGTTAAACAGTCGTTTATTGGTACTCAAATTGTCGGTTGTCCAGTCATTGTCTCGTAGTTAGTTTTGATTGAGTCCGTCAATAAGTCGTTTTTTTTTATGGCGTCGGTAACTGTTGGTTACGATTCAGTGGCGTTTGTTCTAAGTTAGTACAAAAGTTTTTGAAGTGAGTCGTTGACTTAATTGAACAATCAGGTCAATAACCAGAGTTAAATGTCATCAACTGACGTGATACAACTCACTTTGACTCTGAAGATGACCACCGCACAGGTTGTCGAAACGTCAATTACTGTCGACAGGACTATGTTCACCCGGACGATCATAAAACGATAATTTTAAAATACGATGAACTGACCTACACGAATGGATGAAGTTGAGCAGTTCTCACATTGTCAAAGTGATTTCCGTTTCACAGCATTTGTGATCTGGCGATTATTGTCAACTTTTCAAGCTGCATGTGTCACGCAAAAAGGCAGCTTCCCTTTGGACGCCGTTTGTAGTGACATGTTTGTGTATCTAGAAAATAGAGCTTTTTTACGGTCTACAGTCCGGAATATATAATATATATTTTAAGGACAGGGCCAACTGGTCACGCGACACTTTTCAACCTATGAGAAGACGCGCTTGTGTTTATCAACAAACAAATCAAAACATCGCCCCAGTGATAAAAAAAAATTCAAAACAGCGGACGGAGTCGGACAGAATTAAACATGAGCTTACAGTACTCGTCTAGGTTTTCACATTTAATATTTCAAAGAAAACATTTCATGTAAGAGAATAAGAGCATTAGTCATTGCAAGGAATCATTGGGTTTTCGAACTAATTCCGGACCGATCGCAGAGAGTCGTGGCTTCACTGGCATGGCTTGCAATATTTTTGATAGAAGCAAACTGGTCCCGTGTAAAATAGCCTTAGAGAGAGTGTGAAAATTTGCTGAGATCGTACAAAACAGGATTGGTACTACCTATTAACTTCTACAGGACAAGAAACAAAGAACCAGTCATCATAACAAGAATAAAAAGTAGTTCAAATTTATTAATTTTTCTTGTTTGTTTTTTTGTTTTGTTTCGTGTTGACTTCACGCATCTGGTGCTTTCTTTGCTTGCTGTAGTACTTGCAATGTTTTAATTTTATCCCAGATAATCAGTGCATGTTCAATGAGTTGCTAAATACATCATTTACACTTGAAATTTGCCTTCTTTCCTTGATTGCTTTTTAACGGTGGATAAATATTTGGAGAATCCAACAACATTAAATTTTTCCAGATTTCGTGAATTTCAGAAACAAAGCGGTTAGTATCTACCTTGCGATTATGATCTTCAATTTCATCCCCGCAAATTCGGCAAAGTGAGGCGAGGTGTTGGACGTGAATATCCATAAGACCTATAAAGTTGTTTTGGCCTTGAAAAGAAAAAAGGCAAAGCCTCGTACTAATGCGAAAAACAGTAATAACACGGCTCTGTGAGAAACCCGGGAGTAGAAAACGTACGTGTTTTGGACCTCGGAATTCAAAAAATGTCTACCAAAATTCTAGGATGTCTGCCTTCCCTACATTCAACACGGTATAAGTTAATCGATATGACAATCGAGGAAAAATGTCTAGAACTTCATAACAAAATCTGTGAATCGAAAAAATAATAGATACTTGTTCACCTACCTGAAAACCGACCAACATCTCGCCTATACATCGCGTTGTTCAAAAGAAGAAATAAGCCACAAAATTTGCTAAATATTTCACGAGACACTTCCAATATGGATTCCGATACGCTGTTCACTTAGAAAATATTGTGTATGCCTCATGGAAAGTCTTTAAAATGTGGTCTACTGGTCTACTTTTCGTTTTACTGACCATACTCTCAGGGTGAATAAGACATTCAAAATATGGAACAAACTAGGAAGAACTTTTCTTTTTATATGTTTTCGAGAGCTTAACCCTATTTTTAAAATAATGTTTGAAGTAAAAGCCAAGAAAACTCGAACACACTCACTACTCGATGGTTTCTACTAGTAAATAACTGAATATTCTTAAATTTTACTTTTAAAATGCGCGCGCGTACTTGTGGATTCTCAAATGAACACCGAACTAAGGGAGAATCGATGGAAAGTCATGTTGATGACAAGCCATTCGGAGCCTTCACGGAGTATTCAAAAGGTAGAGGTGTTTGCAACTACTGGAGCAGGGAAAATACAAATCACTTAAATAAATTTGGTTGAACCAATATATGTACTTACCATCATTGTCTGGCATAGAAAAGTCCTTAGATCCTGTAACAAATTAAAAGGATCTGTCAGTTAATGTCTCACAGAGTACACTCCGTTTATCCCCTATAACACAAAGTGTTTGGGTCGCCTGTACATAACTCGTGGTGTTGTAGAACTGAATGACACAGTGATATAATCCTTTTAAGGTTTATTTAGAGCGGACACGATTTCAAATTATGATCACTTCAAGTGCGTCGTAAACTGGAATCTTGGAGCGTTAGTGGCAAAAGCACGGTTCCTGAGGAACGATGGTGTCCTTACAGCTAAAGGTTCCAGCAATGATTTATTGTTAGATCTCGGTCCACATGCACTTAGTGCACTACCTGCTGCGCCTGGTGAAACCAAATTACAAATAGACCTAGTGCTGTAACGATACATCTTAATATCAACCATATGTTTAATTTTAACCAGCGAAGTTGTTGCGCTTTCCACAAACATGCGAACTCTAAAGTTCAAAAGCCGCCTTCAAAATTGCGTTTTTTTCGCTGCCGTCATTCATAATCACGATCACAAGCAACGAACCTTGAAACACAGAAACACAGAAAACGGATCGAAATCCATCAATCACAAATCACAAACCATGACCTTTTGAACCCGTTAAAGTAAAGATTTGTTTCCTAAAAGATCCGTTAAGATGATTGACGGCGGCGAAAAACGAAATCGTCAGTTGGCTTTTGAACTAGGGAATTCGCATGTTTGAAAAGCGCAGTAAGTTCACAAAGAAGAAATAGGAGAGTATCTGGGAGCGGTAGATACAAGTCATACTGAAGCAATTTACACGCGTTGCAATTTTAGAAATGAAACAGCCAGGGATGGCAAGATAGAAGAAGTGAACTGCAATTTTCGAGGTGGCTCGAAACTGGAACGTATGTATTTATTTCCTCGCGATTTCCTAAGATGAGCTCTTTCTTATTACTTGGGTGCCTCATGAGTTCGGTAGATTGGCTTTAAACTTGCAAAGGCCGGTTGCACGGGCATTAGAATGGGCATGCAACGCCAGGCCAAGCCTGAGAACATAGGCATTTACGGAATATCCCTTCTACGTGCTTAAGAACTGGAAATTCGTCTGGGTTGGTAGCTACAGGTTATGGAAGGCGCTCTGATCATGTTGTTCGTCAAGGGTAAGGGAAAGATACATATGATATTGCGAATTTTTATTGCTGCCGCAGTAAGTGAGCCTGAAGAGAACGAACGAGGTAGCTCTCTAATCGGCAAAAAATTTTCTAAGGGCATTCTATGACTTTTTCTTGCCAGAAGCAAGAAATTGTGGTTATGCTCGAATAAAATTTACGTTCGCAAATAAAATAGAGGCAATGTATGAAAGGTCGCACGAAAGCGTAAAAGTAGAACCCCGCTCAACCTCACGTTTAATCTCAACACTTTATATCTTTTCTTAATTTCATTTACGTGACTAAAATTTACGTGCGTTAACGTGTGTAGCCTAAAACGCGTCAGTGGAAATCAACCTTGAGTTTCTCAGTCTATTCTAAATCGACGTATGATAGTTTGGTCTGGCTGGGATTCTTTGATTTGTCAAAATTATTTGAAAAATATCGGACTTGCCGGTCATTATTACTGTTTTGAAAATCTTGACTGGTTACCGGCCATATAGCCACAGCCTTTATTATTTTCCAAGCAAATTTGCTCCTGTGCCTAAGAGGGAATCACACAAGCAGCATTAGAGCTACGAGCCCGAAATTTATGTGTCATATTTATCAATAATTGAACGTAACTGCCATCCAAAATTGTTTAAATTGGCGTTAGGCCAAGTTGATGCTGCGTTTTCATTGTCGTTTCTCAAACCTATCTTGTAGAGCAGATCAC